CGCTCTCCCACCCTCAAGAGTGCCTCCAGCTGCTCCTGGGTTTTCACCTGAGGAGCCAGGTCAAAGGGGAATAACAAACAGACCGGAGGGGCCTGGAAATTTAGCAGAGGGCATCACAAGTCAAGGGACAAGGCTCAGCTCCTGACCCACTTGTTGCTGATGTGCCTGCCTTACGGGCCCTGTTGCTCTAAGCTTCCTGGAGGCTTTTCCACTCATCCTTCACCCACTCCCCATCCATCCATAGTCATCCATCACCTATCCATCGCCCATCCATCCATCCATCCATCCATCCATCCATCATCCATCCATCCATCCATCCATCCATCATCCATCCATCCATCCATCCATCCATCCATCCATCCATCCGTCATCCATCCATCCATCCATCGCCCATCTGTCATCCATCTATTACCCATCCAATTATCACCCATCCATCCATCCATCCATCCATCCATCCATCCATCCATCCATCCATCCGTCATTCACTCATTTACTTGTCATGATGAATCTTCAATACATAATCAGGCCCTGAACTACAGGGATAAGACCCAGTGCCTGACATTAAGTCAGTAAGATGTAGCAGGTGTAGATACCATAACAGAAGATATGGCACGATGGAGACACCAAGCAACTGTCTAGAAGGGGCCCAGGGGGTGCACTGGGAAGGCATCCAGGGGGAGCTGCTGTCACTCTCTTCACGTCTCTGAAGCTATTGGTGTGCAGGGGAGAAACCTAGCCCAAGGCCAGCCCTCATTGCTGGCACATCACACGTTCTCTATGAAGCCATTTCGCCACCGTTGGGGTGTAGGATCCCCATAGAACCTGCCCGGCCTACTTCACTGGGCCATTTTGAGGCTGCAAGTACAGACACAGCTTGGAGAGTTGCCTGGACTCCACAAAGTCCTCACAAGCACTTGCACTGAGATTCTTTCCTGGCTCCAGATGAAAGGATGGGTCTAGTCCCAGCAGTTTGGGGCCCTGGTGAACTGAATGTGTGAGTGCATGTGTGTGTGCGTGTGCGCACCTGTGTGGGTGTGGTCACGCTGCCATTCATGCTCTGGCCCTGCAGGGCCGATGCCCATAGAAGCCTGCAGGCCGGAGGATGGGGGACGGCTCTCCAGACTGGCCCTGACCTACACCCTTGATGAGCCCTTCCAAATCTAAAGAACTTTCATGTTCACGGCCACCATCTCCCTAGTGCCCTATAGTAACCTGGGGAAGGGGGCAGGGCAGAAGCTGTGAACCTTATTTTTTAGCCAAGAGACAGATCTGAGGAGCAAACTGGCTTGTCCCAGCTGACAGGCAGACCACTGGAGAGGGTTAAGAGCCAGAACTCTGGTGTCACAGGCCTGTGGTGGATCCTGGTTCTGCCACTTAATTGCTGTGTGACTTAACTTAACCTCTCTGTGCCTCATGCCTCATCTGAGAAAAGGGGGCTACTGACAGCTTCTCCTCATGGTGTGGCTGTGATGATTATATGGGGTAGAGATCAGAACATGTCCAGTGTGGTGCCTGGCACGCTGGGGACACCAACGGTTTGGGCCTATTAATACTAATTCAGATCTTGCGCCTCTCAGGCTTGCTCTCATTCCAGCCCCTCCCCCTGCCCTTCAGGGATTGAAGACAGCAGCTGGCAGAGGGAGGTGGTTGCTTTAAATATGAGATGAGGAGAACAAAAGGAAAATAGAACAGGGTGGTGGCTTGGGGCTAAACTTTTAACAGTCCCCTCCCCAGTGTGGGGGCGGGCTCTGAAGGCCAGAACCGGATGCTGCCTGCCCCCTCTTCGGAAGGAGCTAGAAGCCCTGCTTCTCAGCTCAGGCCCTCTGGCTGGGGGAGGTGGGAGGCACTGGTCCGGGGTGGGAACCCACAGCCCAAGGAGACAGCCCTCCCGTTCTCCAGAGGGCCAGGAAGTAGGTGAAGCGGGATGGGCGCTTCTCGGCGTCACTTCCAAGACAACACTAAACACGCACCAGAACACTTCTCTGCAGGCCCCCAGAGAGCTTCAAAGGCGGCCCGCGTGGCAGCGCGCCCTCTGCCTCCGCGCCGCGGCCCGCCGAGTCCTCGCCCTTTGCCTTCTCCCACTGACCGCCTCCGTGCCCGAGGGGGCACCGACGTTACTGTCTCTCCCGTCTGGCCCACACTCACTGCTCTCCCCGGCAGAGGGACTGGGCCCTGCAGGTCGGGGTCTGTGACTCGGCCTCCACACAAGGCTGCAGATTTCCCCATTGACTCCAGCTGGGCCCAGCAGAGGGGACCAAGGGGTTAGTGGTTGACACACAGATGGCAGCGGGGCGACCAGGGCAGGGCGGCGGCTGCCCGCAGTCAGCCCTCTGCTCAGTGAAGGCCTCAGGCCGCTGTGGTCCAGCAGAGGGCGAGGTGGAGGCCTGAGGACAACTGGACGGAGCACCCAGGAGCTGTGCGCCCTGAGGCACCGAGGGCCCTGCGGACACCAGCTCTGCGCGGGGTGGATGGCAGCAGCAGGCCTGTGAGCACAGCCTGTGCCCCAATGAGCAAGGACCGCAAGGGCTGGCGGGTCCGGGGTCAGTTGGCCAGAGAGGCTTCCCAGCTGGGCCCTGGGCAAGAGCTCTACTTCTCCCAGCCTCGGTTTCTTCATTCGTAAATGGGGACAATGACTACCACGCAGGAGGTCTGCTGAGGACACAGGACATCGGTGTCATAAAGGAGGGAGCCCAGTATCTGCCCCATAAGGGACACCAATAGACGGAAACTGCCTCCTTCTCAGCCCCAGCTAAGCCTGCACCTTCAGCCACTCTCTTCTTCCGTGAACCCCATGCCCAAGTACCCCACTTCCCTGAACTTCTCACCAGCTTCCTGGTACCACTGTTTTCTGCACATACTGTTGCTCCCTCAGCCATGGAGTCTTCTGCCTGCAACCACCGCATCTCACCGCTCCCCTGGAAAACACCAAGGCCTAGTTCAAGGCTGCCTCCCCGTGAGACCTCCAGGGCAGGGAGAGGTGCTCCCTTCTCTGAACCCCATCTTCCCCTGAACCCCACCCTCCCTCTCCTAGCAGACTACTGCAAGGTGCCTGCTTTTCCATCCCTGGGTCTCTGCCTCTGCAGACTGCCAAGGATGATGAGTCCCTCACCACCACATCCCTCTCCTTTGCAGCCCATGTCCACAAATGCTTGGTGAGTCACTGGCCATGAGCAGCGAGGGCCCTGTGAGGAGGGTCAGGGTGACAATGGCTGGCACCAGCCTCCGGGAGTGGAGGGAAATAAAACCACTGAGGACAAGAGGAGAAATCCCTGGGAAACACAGCTGCTAAGGTCCCCGGCCACCTCACCTGGCCCAACAGGGACCACACCACTCTCTGGGAGCAGGAGCGGGGAGGCGAGTGGCGAGGGAGTCTGCGGCAGTGGGCAGAAGCGGCCCGACTGTACTGCATGCCTGCCAGGGCCGCACCTTACAAGCCCAGTCTCTCCATTTCCACCCTGTCCTGAGCGAACTGGGTGTCGGCATCCCATCTGCAGGGGGGAGAGGAGGAGCAGGCCCGAGGGGCACAGTAAGGACAGTGAACACAGCCGGCCCGAGACTCAACGACCTCAGAAGGCTGGTGCTTTTTATCCCCATTCTGCAGACAAAGCTACTCAGGCACAGCAAAATTAGAAGAGCAGGGCTGGGTCTGGGCCAGACTGGTGGACCTCAGAGCCCGCACTCCCAACTTCCTCCCACACTGTCTCGGTTGTAGGCTGCACAGCCTCGTGTTTTGGCACCTGTATGCAGCACAGCAGAGGAGGGAGCAGACACTACGCAGGCAGTTCATGAGCCGTCGCTATTCCAGGTCTCAATGCCCCCTCCTTTCACTCCCATCTGGGAGCTCACCGCTCTCTCCGGCAGCCCCAGGGTGGCACAGGGCTTGGGCCAGCGCAGGCTCCAGATCCAGGAGCTGCCCTTCTCTGCCTGTCCCCACACATCCCAGAAGGCCAGGACCACTGCCCGGTTAGAGCCAGATGGACAGCCCTGCGCTTTCCCACCTGCGCTGCTGCACTCAGCTCGGCCCCAGCATTGCCACCATTCAGCAAGTGCCTACCTAGCCATGGGGGAGCCTGCTGCATGGGTCTCTCTGCCCAGCTGCGCTGCTCTTAAGGCCGCAGTTGCCTGATGCAATTCCGTCCAGCAGATCTGTTGACAGATCTCATTACAAGGGGATGCTCAGCCTCAGAAGGTGTGACTGGGCTGGGGGCCAGGCGCCCAAGGCCCCCACGGGGGTGGGGAAGGCACGTCGGGGGAAAGCACAGGCTGCCCAGCTCTGTCCTGACCCAGCACTTCCAGGTTGGAGACTCAGAACCAGGGACGAGGCCCCTGAGCTGAAAGGGCTTCACGGTGCCACAGTTTGGTCCCCTTGCCCTCAAGTCTCCTCTGCCCCTGTGCATTTAGTCCCACCGTCCCTTGGCCTGGAGGATCACCCCACACTGCCCCAACCCCAGGTGAAATCCCATTCTCCCTTGAAGAGTTGGCTTTCAGGCCTCACCCACCAGAGGCCCCCCCTACTCCCTACGCTGGGCGTGAGGTCCTTCCTCCCAGAATGCCCTGTCCCATCTTTTATCACGTCACTTTTCACATCCAGTTGAAAGAATTGGGTTCAAGTATTCCTCTGCAATAGACTATGAGCTCACTGAAGGGAGGGTCTGTGTCTTTTCTATCTTTGTATCCCCATTCCTGGGACCTGGCACTCAAGAGATGTTGAATAAATATCTTTGAACTGAACTACATTATTTGAGACTGCAAACATCTTTACAGTAGCTCAGTCTTGCCACTAAGGCTGCCTCCATCGGTGTCCATGTGGCCCCGCCCACCTGCACTCACCCCTACCCAGGACAGAATGGTGAGGGGCAGAGCCAGGCCAGGAGGGCTTGGGCCTAGGCACAGGGTTCCCAGTGGCCTCGATGGTTCACCTCTCTAGGCTCCTGGGCCCCACCAGGGCCTGAGGATACTGAGCACATCTTCCCTTAACCTCAAGAAGCTGTAGATCAAGGTCAGTTTTTGGTCATTTTAATTGTAAAAACCAAGACATTTATATAAATAAGACCGCTGTGTAAAATAGGATTCACCCTTCTACTAAAACTCTTCTCCCCACACTCAAAAAGAATATAGAAAACCCAGCAGAGATAAGAAGTACAAATTAGCATGCGGTCCCTGATGATAAGTAACTGGCAGGCCAGGTTTCCCTGCTGAACAGGCCTCATGGTGAGTGCGCTCCTGGCCCAGGCGTCTCACCGGAGGCTCAGTGACGCTTCAACCAACTGCTCAGCAGCAGCAGTTCCCACACCCTCAGCCACTGGGTGCCAACTGCAGGGGTGGAGGCAGTGTGAAGGGTTCAGGGGGCCTAGCGGCCAGGGAGGGAGGATGGGGCGGGGGGAGGGAGGCTGCTTGGTTCTCATGCCAAAGCAGGGGCTGCGGAGCTGTGGGTCCAGCAAGGCGCAGTGGTTTTTTGGGCTGGGGAAGGGGCTTCTGGAGGGGGGTCGCCACTTCTCCAGAAGGCAGGGGGAGAAGCTGCGAGTGTCCCTTGAGAGGTGAGGCTCCTTCTTGGGGCCATCCTCAATGGCTGGCAAAGATGAGGACAGTGGACACCTGCCAGAGGTGCTGGGGGTGGGAGGGCCGGGGCTCCGGGAATGCAAGGGGACAGCAGCCCGGGAGGGGTGGGGCTGGGGGTTCTCCATCTCCCACCCTACTCCTACCCTGTCACATCTCTCCACCCCTCTCCCGCATGAGACTGCTGCCTGCTGCCCCCTGAGAACTCTGGGACTCAGAGGGCACTGGCTGGGAGCTGGGAGAGAGATGTCAACAGATGCACACGCTTGGCGTGGCTCAGGAAGGGTTCACAAGGACAAAAGAAAAGACCCCAGGCTCTCCTTTCACAAAGCAGGACGTGCCAGGGCTGCTCCCATCCCAGATGAATGGCGGAAGAGGCCCTGCAGGGCACAGGAGCACAGGCGGGGGACGGTGTCAGGAGCACTTCCAGACACACACAGCCAGGGTGCCCCCGAAGTACAGGTACAGGAGGTTCTTCACCTCATGAGTGATCTCAAACCCAAAGCCTTCACCGATCACCACATGCCAGGAGGAGCCGAACTTCTTGTCCATCGTCTCTTTGATCATCTTGGCGGCACTCTGGAACAAAGAGATGCTCACCAGAGAGGAAGTCTGTGGGGAGGGCGCGCGAGGCGACCCCCTCTCTGGGAAGGAGTCTTGGCAAGAGAAAAGCCTGTTGTCCTATTACTGTTTCCTCCGGCTCAAGGAACCTTCAGAAAGGGTCTCTACACAGGCCACCTTCTGCCAGGGGCTATTACAAGGGACAGAAAGGCAGACATTACCTCACCAGTTAGGACACCGGGGAAGGCGGACGAGCAGGCACTGGGTCTGGACACAGAGCCCCGGGTTGTGTTCTGGCTCTGCCTCTTAGCGTTAGTGTCTGGGGGCCGCTCTCAGGGCTAAACGAGGTAATTTACCTGAGAGTGCTCCGCAGGCGGTACAGGGTTACGCTGTCACTATGAGGCATCAGGTTTATCTTCAGGGAACAGAAAAACTTCTCCCTAACGGGTTTGGGGGTTTCTCAAAGAGCTGGACTGCTTCCCTCAGCTGTGGCAACAGCCCCCACTCTTTCCTATACTTGCTCTTTCAAGACGGAGTCTAGGGAAGGGCCGAGGACCCAGCCTTTGAGGGGTTAGCCCACCACGCTCAGGAACCTGCTGTGCCCCACCACACACTGGGCTCTCGCCCGCCTCAGCTCAGCCCATACATCCTCACAATGCCCAGTGGAGGATGTAGCACCCACACACCTTAAGACTAGGAAACTGGGGCTCAGAGATAAGAGATGGCTTGTCCAAGGTTAAAGAGCTAGACGCGCTGGAGACAGGGTTTGAACTTGGGCCAGACTGGTAAATGACATCCCTGCCCATATCCCCCGCATCTAGAACAGTGCCTGGCACAGAGATGGAGTTTCACGTCTTTTGGAATGGATGAATGGATACATGAATGGATGCCTGGGCGGGCCTGTTCTCCACTGGGATGGAGCCAAGGGGAAAGGTTCCCCATTCAGCAGCCCACCTGGGCAGGGGCATCCCAGAGACCCCTTGGGCTTTTCTTCCTCTAGGGCTGGGGGTGACCATCAGGTCCGTGCCCAGAGACAGCACCAGCCTCTTCCCTCGCTGGCCTTCCCCAGCCTGTGAGTAGTTCCAAGGAAAGGCCTCCCTGGAGCTGGCTGTGGGGACCGGGCTCTCAGCTCCCCCATGGGGGTCACCAGAGGCAGTACCTCGTTGTTGTTGGAGAACTTCTCACAGGCCGTGACACACAGCTCCATGGTCTCCACCCGCATCTCCTCAGGCATGTCTGAGTGCTAGAGACAGGGCGGGGGGCAAACAGAGAGAGGCTCAGCCAGCACCCTAGCCTTTGGGGCTCGCCTCTGCCCTGAGCTTAAGGCACAGACATCGGGGGCTGTCCCGGCCCAGCCCTAGGCGGCCCTCAGAATGGTGACCCATCTCCTGGCTCAGGATGTGCCGTTGGGGCAAAGGGGCTGGAACCGAGACACATGGGCCTAACACGCAGGTGCCTCCGCAAGCGCAGGGAGCTTCATCAGTGCCGCATTCCAGCTGATGGGCATTGGGAAGAGGGTGGCCCAGGCAGGAGGGAACGCTGGCAATGGAAGTGGTTTACGAGCAGCCTCAAAGCACAGCTGGGTCTCACTCCAAGAGCCTGAAGAGTGGCTCTTGGTATTTTTTCTGGCCTCTCTGGCTGCTCTTTCGCAAGTCACTTTGCGGGACTCCCCTCCTCCTTCCAATTGCTGGAGGTCCTGGGCTTTGTCTCTACCCCTCCTCCTCTCCAGCTCTCTACTTGCTAGGGGATCCCCTACTGTTCTGTGGATTTAAACATCTACTATATGAGGCCAGTGCCCCACTGTCACCCCAGCTAGAACCTCTTTTTTGGGCTCCAGACATCTGCCTCCAATTGTCTGCTGAACAGCCTCACTCAGATGTCTGGAAGATAAATAACTCTTGATTTCCCCACAAGCTTATTCTTCCTTCATCTTCCCTCTCTTGGTAACTGACACCATTTTCGCTCCCATATTTAGGAAAAAAACCAACACTCAGAATCACCTTTGACTCTCTTTCCCTCACACCCAACAGCCAACGCACCAGTGACTTCTAGGGCCTCGACCTTCAAGATGGGTCCTGAACCTGACCATGCCCCCCTCCACTCTGTGACCCGGACTCAGCCACCCCCTCTCGGGGCCTCTGCAACAGCATCCTCACTGGCCGCCTCACTTCCCCGCTGGGAAATCCATTCTCCTTACAATACCTGCTTGGTGATCTTTGAAAATCCTAAAACAGATCACCTTATTCCTCTGCTTAAAACCTTCCACTGTCATCTGACTCAGGATAGAACCTGATTCCTCACCACGGCCGGGCAAGGGAGGTCTGGCCCTGCTCTCCCTGTGGCCCTCAGGTCTTGACAGCCCTCTCAGCCCTCTGTTCCAACTTCTTTCTTTTCCTCCAACATGCTGGTCTTATTCCTGCCTTAGGCTTTTGGGGCTTGCCACTTCCCGTGCTCGGAATGTTCTTTCCCAGACCTTTGCAAGGCTTGCTCCCTAACTTTACTCGGGTCTCTGACCAGAGCAACCTTTCCAGGAGCTGACCTCTACACTCTAGCCCCTTACACCGCATTTAGGACCTGAAGCTATGTTCCCTAAAACTGTCTTTCATGTGGGCCAGGCCTTCGTTCGTCTGGTTCACTAGTGTATCCACAGTGCCCAGAACAGTGCCGGATACACAGTAGGTGGCCTACATAGATACTTGTTGAATGAGTGAATGAATGAATGAATTACTGTAGACCCCCAGATCTCTAAATCTGAGCTAGCAGAGTCCTTCTTAACTTCTCCCCACTGTTGTCCTGCAGGGAGCAGCCATCCCACCTCTCCCCACAGCTGTGTGGGCCCTGCCAGCTTACCCTGACCAGAGGGAAGGTCTGCAGTCGTTTATAATCAGCCTCATCCTTCTTCCCTTCTGTTTCTCCCATGGTCCTTCCACTGTGACCACTGCAGGAGAGAGTGGGGCTTTCTGGGGCTGCTGGGACCAGCAATTAAGACACACCCAGGAGATTTAGGAAGCAGGCCCTGCCAACTTGGTGGGAACAGAAGATGTCTTTCCCCAAGGGGTGCTGTGGAAAACAGGAAAAACCAGGAGAAAAGAGTTGGCTTTAAAATCATATATCACAAATTAGAAATGTCTCACTAACAATTTGACACCTCCCCGTCTTTACTCCTCCGCATCCTCTTCCAAGTGGCCAGCAAGTCTGCAGACGGGAGGATGAGTCACCACGAGATGCTGGGACGCGGTGGTTAAGAACATGCTGGTAGGAAGCCGCATGCCCACACTGTCATTATCAAGACAAATACTGACTGCGGGCCAGGCCGAAGACAGGCCTTGAGCTGGCAATGGACGAATAAATGCAGCTTCTCTGCGTGCCTGCTATGTAAATGGTCTGTATTTAGAGAAGACGTGGTTAGGAAGTTAAATGCCAGGTCACGCTCAGTAATGCCAGGCTTATGGGCAAACAAGTGCTTTCTTCTGAAGTCCCCGATCTGTGGAAGGAATGGGAACAGTGGTGCCATGCCCTCCTGGGCACACAGACACCCCAGGTCTTCCTGCCCACTCCCTTTCGGCCACACTGCCTGGGCTCACTGGCTCAGGCGTTGTGACGCCTGGGCTTTAGTGCTAGTTCTATGGCTCACCACCTCTGTGGCTGTGGGCCTCAGATTCCTCCTCAGTACCACAAGGGGTAATCACATCTCTCACTGGGCTGTTAGAAGAACCAAATGAGACCAGGTATGTAAAGCAGCTGACACAGCGCCAGGCACACGGCACTCAGTACTGTCATTCCTGCGGTTCCAGGGACATCAGATGAGAGATACGTACAGGTATCACCGGACAGTTAGAAAGCCTCACACATATGTATGGATTGTTTTTCTTTCCAAATCTAGTTATCTAATAACAGATGGGACTTTCCCTGAAGAGATGATCCTGAAGCCTAAATTGCTGGAAATCCTGGTGTTTCTCTTTATCCTACAATTCAATTTATCCTATAATTCACAGGACTTTTTATCTCAGAAGTACTAATACAAATTAATGCAAACTAGCATGTTGTTAAACCCTTTTTAATAATCCATATTGGACAAATACAGCCAAATAATGTTATTGCAGCTTCTGTCACATTTCTAAATAAATTTACACTCATGGCACAGCCACCAAACTCTGAAGATGCCTGCATAGTAACTAACAGGCAGGTAATGCCAGGTGGTGTTTATCAGGTATCCTGGGTGTGAGCCACTGTTCTAGGGCTCCGTGTGCACTTAGTGCATTGCTGCAACAGCCCCATGAGTTAGATCTTGCTCAAACGGAGGCCTGGGGTCACTCAGCTCACAGGCAGCAGAGCTGGAGTTTGAGTCCAGACTCAGTCTCCAGCATGAACACTCCTAACACCTCCTCCAAAGGTCTCTTTGCCACACAGACACACAGTAGGCACCTATGAAACTCAGCTCCGGTGTCTGATGCTAGTTCAACTCGGAGATCCCGACTTGAACTCTTGATCCTCCCATTTGGTGACTACTATTCTACTGCTAACCTGACCCTTGTTTAGCCAAGGATTGAGCTTTCTGTATACTTTTTCTGGTCCGTGCTCTCGATGTATCCCACTCTCTGATGCTTCCGAAACCCTCAGCACCACTCAATGTGGTGGGCTCCCTTGAACAAGGCTGAAAGCCTGGCACCAACTCCACCATCCCACGACACTGGTATTTTCTGACTTCCTAGTGGACAGACAGCTCCTCTTACCTCATCAATTCTGAGCCTTTACAACACTCAGATATCAGCAGCTTTTGTTTGTCTCCACATATGGGCTGGCAAGTTCCCAGGCACAATCTCATTGTACTTCTGCTCATGTTTCTTATTTCACAAAATCCAGTGAATCATTCTGTCTTTGCTCATTGATGTGAGGCCCTTCTCCAATTCCATCGTGCCCTCCTACCTTCAGTAAAGCCACATGATTGCCTCCTCCTCCACACTATCAAGGTGCGCAGCGGTGGTGGCTGCACCGATGATCAATGGATAAGGGCTTTCAGGTGTGTTTACCTCCCAATATTTTCAAGTGGGAACAACTTAAAATGCCAAAGCAGCTGCTTAGGCATCTTGCACCTAACTATTTCAATTCTATTTGATTCATCCTCAAGGCTAAATAGTGCCAGCAAGGAGTGGCCTGGAAGGGAATTCAGAGGCAACTGTGCACACGCCTGCCCTGGGGGAGGCCAGGGTCTGGGACAGCTGCTGGGATTCCGCTTCAGCCTAGGGAATCCTGATGAAACAGGGCTTCAGAAGTATGACCAGAGGCCATTCTCCAGCAAAAAGTGGGAAAGGCCACTGGGGCAGTTTTGTGTGTGTGTCGGGGGGGCGCATCACCTTGTAGAGTAGAGAAGGTGCAGGACCGTGTGGAGGGGTACTGGGCTCGACCACCAGATCTGTAACTGAAGTGAATCCTGCTCTCTTCCTTGGAGCCTTGGGCAAATAATTTAACCTGGGCCTTGGTTTCCTCGTCTGTGAAATGGGATAACCCCTCTATGCTCAGACAGCTGTTGCAAGCACCAGTTACATGTATGTGAGATTCTGGAATTGTAAAGCTCTGTGCACTGTGGTCACCACACTGCTCTTACTACCACACTATTATTAGCCAGAACTTGGTCAACATGATTCAACCACGTTTACTAAGGACCACAAATATAAACAGCTTTTCCTCACCATTACATGTGCTTCTGGGGACCCAAGAGGGGTGATGAGACAGAATAAACAGGAATAGTTAGAGATGGTGTATTTCCAAATACAGAAAGGTAGGAGAATTTTTTATGATGCTGTATCATTATAGTACAGCCACAGTCATTTAGTCATGATTAAAAAACCCTGCCGACAGAATGTTACCAAAAATAGAACTAGAAGTTTTAATAACCTTATCAATCCTCCATGCAAGAGAGCGTGTGCCTGACAGCTCCAGGCCAGAAAGAAGTCTCATCAGGCCTGAAAGAGAGCTCTTTAATAATGTAAGTGTGTTCACGGCCAGGGTACCTGAATCTGCTGGGTATCAAAGCTCCAACTGTTCCGAGCGCGTCCTGACGTGCAAAGCCAGGTGCAGCCTTGCTCTCTCCTCTGCCCCGACCCCCCTCACCCAAGCGCCCCTCTACAGGCTCCGCACAGCCGGGCCTATGTCTGATACGTGGCCTCTCTGAGGCAACAGGGGGCACAGATGAAGCTCTTTCCCTTACCGCCTTGTCAAAGCTAGGGCCCCCTGTCTCCCTGTCTCTGCTCTTTTGTGACGCTGACCTCAGTCACCATTTATTATTTTCCTTCTGAAGCATTTAGGAAGAATCCTTAGGAGGGTGAGTGGATGTGGGAGAGATGGAGAACAATGAATGGATTCTGGGAAATAGGCCAAAAGTGTCCGCCAGCCCCTGGGGGCTCCTCCAGCCACTCAGCGATGGAACACGCTCGGCTGTGGACCATGCTTGCCACCTTTGACTGCTGCCAAGCACCCGAGAGATGGGGAGACACACTCAGAGATGGGTGGTGGTTGTGAGGGCAGTCTCCACAGGCGAGTCTGAACTCACATCTTTGACAAGTGTTTACCTCTCAATCCTCAGTTTTCTCATCTGGAAATTGGGGCAAAAAATAGATGCAACCTCACAGCAAATGGCGGCTCTTGTTCCTGGAGCAATAGGAATGGGAACAGCAACATTCTTCCTCATATACATCCAAACGTTCAGCCAAACAGCCCAATATTGACTGAGTTCCCACTCTGTGTAAAGCACCATGTTAGTACTGGAAGACGGAAAAGTCAAAGGAAAACATAGTTGGGGTCAGGCTGGGACAGGGGTGGGTGTGGTTATTCTGGGTTTTCACTGGCTCATTTCACCCCATAACCACCTGTGGAGGCAGCATCCACTCCCAGATCCAATAAGACACCTGGGGCTCAGAGAGGTTTTGGGCTGGCCCACAGGTACACAGCGAGCAACGACAAAGCCAGCATCCGAACGCACCTCTATTCTTCTAATTCTACCTTCTGTGCTCTCTCCCCTTCAGAAGCAAGTAGGAGACAAGACGGAAACACAAATAACTTCCATTGTCAGCATCCACCGGTTCAGCCGCCCGTCCAGGCACACCTCCCACTTCCAGCCACATCAGGGATACACACTCGAGCAGCTTGGTCACCCTCCTGTCTTTCCCTCATATGTTTATGCTCTGCCTTCCCAGAAACAGCAAAGCCGGCAAAGTGAGGGGCACGGAGCCTACGGGTTTGCGGGCACTCGCCCCGGGCACCAGTGGTGAGGTCAGGGGACAACATGGAAGATCCAGATTTCACAGAGCAGTTTGAAAAGGGGACAGTAAACACAGGGTTGCCGTTTTTACATTTTGCTAAGAGCATTAGAAAGCATATCACATGCTATCAGAGAAAGTTTTAATAGTAAGGGGGAGACAATTGCAGAAAAAAGGACAGTCCTCAAGAAAAGATAGTTACCTGTCATACATGTACGCAAAGCACACAAAGGAGTTTTGTTTTGTTTTTTTAACATTGTCCTTAATATTGCTCATTTTACTGAGATCCAGTGAAAACTTTTGATGTGCCTTAAGCCAGGGGTAGGCCGGGAAAGAAAGAGGGAGGGAGAGAAAGAAATCAAGAGTAAGAATGAGATCAAGACATTTTCTTTATGTATAACACGATATAATAAATAACACTGACTCACATGGATACACCCTCACTGACATATCCAAATCTGGATGAAATCCCAAACATTTTGTCAAGATACAAAGTAAAACAAAAAGTCATAACCATTGCAGCTATTAGCTCTACACGAGAACAGATGCTTACTACAGACAGTGGGTTACGCGGTCTCCCTCCCACCCCACCACCGTTCCCACTCGAGAGAACAGATCTGAACGTGAGGGACTAAAAATGCCATTATTACAGAAATAAGGTAGACTTAGGACTGAGTTCTTTGTTTTTTAAAATCATTCACTACTGCTAATTACTGGTGCCATGTCACAACCAGTCACGACCTAGCAGGCGTGGTGAATTCAGACAATCACCTGGGGCGGAAGAATCTCATCGGTTACTATCCTGTGCCTCAGAGCACCACGGCCAGTGTCAGCACGTGGCTGGAGCCCAACAAACATCTAAATTGTGATTAAATCATCTTTCATTTGCCCTCTGGGAAGGGAGAGGGCATATCAAATCCATTCAACAATATTTATTGAGCACTGACCTTGAACAAGTCAACAGGATGGGTGTTCTACATCCAGGATCTCACTGACTCCTCCCCTCGCCCCAGTACCTCTATCAGACAGGCACTATTATCTCTGCTTTCCTGATGACCATGCAGGCTGAGAAAAGTGACTTTCTACCCAGCTAATAAATGGCGCTAAGATTCAATATGGTATATATGACTTCAAGATTATGTTTTTTCAACTACTCAACTCTAAGCAAGAGACAGTCTCTGCTTTCAAGGAGCTTACATTATGATGTGGGCGACCAATACACATATGCAAGAAACTAACTATGGTTCATGGCACAAGGCAGTATGTACCACAAGACATGCCCAAGGAGAGGAGACTTCTAGAGGGGCAGGGGAGAGGACAGCAAGAATAGCTTGGTGGCAGAGGCAGCATTTGAGTCAGGCCTTAAAAGGTGAGTGGGCATCCTGACAAGGGGACAAAGTGAGGGAGACCTTTGTGGCCAAGGGATGAACAAACACAGCAACATCAAAGCAGAAAGCTCAAGATGTTTTCTGGGAAAGTCCCAGGAGAAAAGGCTAGGTGGGCTTGGGCTGTGGAAGTGTAGAATGGCCCGAAAACCAAGGCTTAAAAGGGTGGATGCTTTAAGTGGGGAATGAGAAGCCTTTGGAGGTCCCTTGGGGATGGGTGACATGTTTGTGTTTTTAGGCACAACCTGTTTTGGTGGGCTGGGTTAACAGGAGAGCCTGTTAGGAAGCTACAGCGATGGCCCACGTGATGGGCATTGAAGACTTGAACCAGGATGGTGGCTTCAGGAATGGAGAGGATGTGAGATCTGGCAGAGCCAGAATCAAAGCACACGGACATGTGCCTGAGTGGGCATGGCAGAGTGATGGATGGTGCTCGAGGAGGATGGTGATGCCATTGAGAGAGAGGAAGTCAGGTAGAATGGATGGACAGATTGAGTTTAAGTTGCTGCTGAGATATGCACGTGGACATGTCTCATCAGTAGGTAACACTGAATTACCGATTGTCAGGGGCAGAAGGGAAACCGTAACATCAATATATCAAACTCTACCCTCATCCCCACTCCCACTCCAAAGTATCCCTAAACATAGAAGCCCAGGAGGAAGAGCAGAGCTGGAGAGCTGGATTTGAGGATCAAATGGAGAAATGACAGGTGACACTAAAAGCACTGGTGACACCAACTCTCAGAGATGGAAAATGTGGGCAAGTAAGAGTCAAAGTAAGTAAAGTAACAAATATGGAATCTACGCTAGACTGGACTCTATGCTTCAGCTCACAATATCCTCAGAATTTCCCAAGAGACGCCCTGTAGTATCCCGACTTTATATATACTCAGACTGGAGATCGGGGTGGTTAGGTAACTTGTTGGGTTCCTACACTGGGAGTCCAAATTAGGTTTGCCAAGTTCTTTTCACTACATCCGACACCTCCCATGGGGAGCACCTCCTCGGGGAAGCCTACAGTTGTATCAGAGAATCATATCCTTGAATGTCAGAGTCGAAGATGCCTTAGAGATCATTCAACCCAACTTCTCGTTGATGGAGAACAGGTCTGAAGAGGGAAATGAGCAGTTTGGAGTATCAGCGCGTCACCCACTGTCCAAGGCAGGCGGTCTGGGTCGAGTCGGCTGCGACCATCGGCCCAGCCGCCAGAGGGGAATTACTTCTCAAAAGCTGAGGGGGGTCGGGTCGGGAAGAATGAGGGAGCGCGAAGAGGGACTAGGCCTCGGGGAGGTGGAAGGAGCAGCTTGCGGAGTCGCGACGGCGAATCTGTCACGACCGAGTCCGCAGGTCTCAGAAGATGTGGATGGGGGTTGGGAGGACCTGGGAACAGCAGGCGGGAGACTGAGGTGGGGCCTCCGCGGTGGGCGAGGCCCTGCCCGCCCCACGTTGCCTCCCGGCCCCGCTTCGGGCCGGCCCTCCCCGCCCGGCTGCCCGCCGCGCCCCGGGGCCTCACCTGCTCCCGCGGGGGCCGGAGCCAGGGCCGCAGCTAGCACACCCCAGCCAGGGTTGTCAAGGAGGGAAACAAGAGTGTCCTAGCAACAGCAAGGAAGTCCTGCCGCTTCACCGGACGTTGACGAGCATTTCACTTCTTATTGGTGAATAAAAATGTCAATCAATGTTGAAGGGCCCTACGAAGCAGGGGGTTTGAGGATGAAGGGG